TAAGCCGGTGAAACAATATTTTTTAAATTTAATTTTTTTTTATCTCAGATGATGGAACTGAAAAAAGAAAACGAGAAAATAATTTTAAAGCAACTTTAAATTTCATGATATCTTATAAACAGCAATGGAATAAACGATAATTGAGGTTTTGCAAAAGAGAAGAAATTAAATTTTTTTAAAATTTCTAGATTGAAATTAAAATTTCCTGAATCTTCAATAAAATTCTGAAAAAGAAACTAACTTTTTTAAAAGGTGAAATTTTGCGGTAAAAGATTCTAAATAGAAATTCAGATAAATGAGACAATGTCCATGCGACAAAAATAATTGCATTTAAATGAATAGAATCCATTATCAAAAAGAAAGAAAACAATTTATGATTGTTACAGGAAAAAATAAGTGGAATGAAGCGATTTCAGTTTTAGAAAATGAAATGAAAAAAAAAGCCATCATTTTTCTTTGATTTCAACTAATTTAGCTAAAGTGGTTGGCCTTCACCATTTCTGGTCAGACTCGCTCCGCTGATAGTACAGTACGGCAAATTTTTGTGAGAATTAGCACCACTTGAATTTTCTAATTAATGGCCTGATAATCTATCCGGCTCAAATTCAGCCGAAAACTCAAAGATAAAATTATTATTATGCAGAAAATTTTGATTTACAGCGGAAAATAATTCTTTAACATAAAAAGGGCATCGCATCAGTATGAATGCAGAGCCAATAAAAAGTGCTGCAATTCTGGAAAATGAAAAAAATTTTATGGTTTTCTGCAATGTTTTTGCACGGAAATTGGTTTCATAAACGCAAAAACGAGTGGAATGACCTTTTCTTATTAATGAATAAATTTTATTCATCCCTATTATATTAATTTCAAACAAGGTTCATCCACTTATCACCTCTGAGAAAAATGATAAATTTTTTTCCAAATGCTTTATAGTTTTTGAAATCTTGCATATTATGCTTGCAGACCAGTTTTCTACTGGGTAGCATTCCTTCATTTGAAAATACAAAATAGTTAACGAAATTTATAGAAAGTGGAGTCCAAATGGGAATCGAAGCGGTGACTACATAACTACAACCACTATCAGCGTAATAATAAACATACATATATATATGACAAACTGAATTAAGAATTCCACATTGAAATTAAAATTCATTTTTTTCTATCAAAATTAGTAAGGCATGCACATATTTCCTCGAATATCGGTCTACCAAAAATCATCAAAAAAAAATTGGTAAAAAGCCCCGAAATATGAAGAGATAATATCATCATGATAATATGAAGCTGAAGAACAAGTTGTAATGCTGCCAACATACGACATTTATGCCTGTAAATCGATTTGGGTAAATGCAAAAAATATGATAAATAAAAAAGAAAGAAGCGTTGTCTTTCCATAAACTAATTTATTTTTTAAATTAAAATTAAATTTTGAAACTCATCAACTTCATTAAACTTTCAATTATTTTCAGTTAAAATTTAATAAATCTTCACACAAGCATATGCATGAAAAGAGAACAAATTTCAGTCTAAGGCCTGAGTCTATAGTACTTCTGGTTCGTCATTTAATACTAAATGGCTCTAACCAATTTTACTAAATTTTATAAAAAATAAGCCTATCTTGCAAATATTACAGTACTAGCGATGCATTCATATCGTTGACGCGGATTTTACTTTTATTAGTTCAGAAGAATATAACAAGGTTTATGAGCGATAACCAACAAATAGTCTTTTATGTTACGAAATCTTTATTTGAATATCCTCGTAGGATCCCCGGGCAAAATGGCAAAATGACAACAATGCGAACGACTTCAACCAAAAAGGGCACAATGGTATTGAAATCTTGGACAATTCATATGATATTATCGCGTAATAATTGGTATTAATATTTCAATCGCAATAAAGCCTATTAGTTTAAACAAATCATGACATGAATTATCCTTCGTTTATTTCATTTCCTTTTTTACACTTATATTAACTTGGTAACTATGGATTTAATAGTATCTATGTACAATAAAAAGTACTATCAAATCCTATAGTACCCAATAGTTTGTCCATGACGTTCGTGGAACTTTGTTTTATCGACTGATCATCTGGTTTAACAGGCTGCGATATGCTATTACACGAAGCAGATTGGAGCGATTGCCGGCGAGGCTTGCTTTTGAGCAAATTTTTTTTCGAACGATTTGACAAGAAAGTGTCGGATAAGGCGTGCCTGAAATCCTAATTTACTAGATTAAATTTTCTGCAATTTTATTTATTAATAACATACGACCAAATAAAATCGCAGATTAAACACAGCAATTTTTTGTTTCTGCTGTAGTGATAACAAAAAGACAGATAAAATAATAATTCATCTGACATTCATGAGCTCGCAATATTTTATTAATGGTTTTTCCCAATTTTTTATTTCTGATATTCCTTCCAATTTTTGTACTAATTTTAAGGAGGGTAAATCAAATGTGGTAACCATTACTACCTTAGCCAAAAAAAAATTATTTTTTATGGAAATTTTTTATCTCCGGAAAAATTGAAGACTGAAAACTGAGAATATATTGGCAAATCAATATCATAACAGATTAGATACATACCTAAGAAATGGCTTATATTCCGACAAAAATGGCATTAAGTGATAACTTGATAATGATGGATATATGGATATTGCTGGGTGATAAAATTGGCCGCTCTGCTTATGCCTTAAATAATGCAAATAAAAACATTTGTTATGTTGGTTTCAGCATAAAATGGGATAAAATGGTAGGGCAAGCAAGGGCAAACTCGATCACATAAGCGATATGTCCACAGATTTCTTAAACGGCTCTCGTAATGCGTTGCATAAATATGAAAGGCTTTCTGCGAAAAGCAAAAATATTAAAATTAAAAGCTCGGAGTAAAAAGCAAAAATTTACATGAAAGAAAAGTATCAAAAATTTGGTATTTTAATTATGAAAATCAAACATGTAATTCACAAATGACTTACGTTTTAAGGTTCGTTGACTCTAAAATATTTTTCGTAGTTTTAGTCTCGATAACTTCGGTTTTTTTTTTTTCAATGTGAGTAAAAATTTTAACATAAAATTGAAAATAAAAGTTAAAAATTATATTTTCGCTTTCGCCAAAAAATCGAAATATGATTTAGTGCCAACCTTAAACAGTATATTAACAAACTAACAAATTTCAAAACCTTATGGCAATACCTTTTAATTGTTCTGCTACTGCCAGCTAAGCTAGCAAAAACATTTGAATGACGAAATGATGGTGAACTGTGCACACTAGCGAATATAGAACCACTTCTAAAGGCTTCGTCGCTCAAAGACGATTTGCTGCCAGCATCTATGAAGCTGATTGAATCTGATATATATGCATATGGCCTTGGAATCAAAGTATTCAAAGATACATGAGAACCTAAATTTTGAATACACAGAAGTTGAGACTAATTTAATGAATAATCTTTTACCATATGCTTATCTGTCACTAATACATTTAGTTTGGCTCGCTTTACTTTGTAATTCTTCTTTATTTGTATTATTTCTCTTTACATTATTAGCCTCTGGTCATATTTCTTTTGTCACTTATATCGCAATCACTAATTTTTTTTATTTGATACTTTATTTTGTTGTTATTAATGAAAACGAATGGCATTTGTCGCTCTGCTTGGTTGCCTAAATAAACAAATAATGTGAAAATATATTGAAGCTTTAAATGTGGAATTTGAAATTTATTCTAAATACCTGGCCAAGCAACATCGCCTAGGGATGCTTGCATGTCTATGGCTATTGACTCTGTTTGTGTATATCGTGATGTGGTTCGCATTTCATCAGCCTGTTCAAAGAAACGCTCCAACTTATTACTTGCCAAAAATTTGGCAAATAACGTTGAGCTAAAAAAAATTTTTAACATTATGTTTAACTGGTAATATTATTGTAAAAGCGGCGAAAGAGCACAGAAACTCAGACCTCAGCAAGGTATCCATTGCGGTATTCACATGGAGAGATTTTCAAGCGCGCACAATATAAATTAAACATATTTGTAAGAAAGATCAGTAAAGATCGCTCTTAGTTAGTTTCTATAATGAATAATAACAACCTAAAATCATCTCTTTCGTTCGATCGAAGTTGCTCAATGGCCCTAACTGCTCGTAAAGCTGCTGTATTGCATGGTGCAGCTTCATTCATATGGCTGCGATTTCCGAATCTTGGTGATCTTGAAGAGGGTGCTAGAAATTCACGAACTTAATGCAAAATTGTCTTTCTAAATTTACAGTCAATGCAATATAAAAAAATTTTAGCTGCCCGACATTCCTTATTATTTCAAATTAAGAATAGAACTCACATTCAAGAGCACTGGTTGTTTCATCATCAGAATATGTATCAGATTCTTCTACCTGTAAACGTGAAGCTATAATATTGTCAGCGATTTTTCCCGCTATCCAGTCTCTAACTTTTCGCACAAAATTCATGCGACCTTTTGATGATTTTGGTTGAAATGGTGCTGTCATGAGTGATTCTGTAATAAGCATGCTTTATGCACTAAATTCCAGCGAAATCTTAAAATAAAAATAGGATTGGGTAATTTTGAAAAATGCAATCATTATTAGCTATTAAGCAATACCCAAAATACATTTGGTTACAAGATGTTTATAGTTGTTTTTAGATTTTTTCATTTCAAAATATGTGCAACATGCAATTACGTAACGTTTAAAATAAAGAAAAATGAAAACGGCACTTTTCAAAACAGCGAATTATTGCATGGAACTAAATACTTTACAGCACATAAATCGAACAGGTTTCAGTAAACATAGGAGGCAGAAATGTGGAAACATACGTGTCACTCCAATTTCGAATGAACAAGGATCCATTTCCGCGTCTCTTTTAATAAATGCAGCAACTTGTTCAATTTGATCCATATAGTGCTTCAATAACTGATTGAGCATGCGTTCTAACGCAATCTCAAAATGCTCGGCATATCTATCTTTTTTATTTTTAAGACACATGTTTTATTTTTAATTAGAAAGTTGAGATTTTTGGTAATTTTGTTCCATTAAGAAAAATGTAATCTAATACCTGTATAAGGTTTATACACATCGATAATAAAGCAAGGCCGATTAAAATCAGCAAAAAATTAACAAGCATCATATCTTTATTGCCAGGAACTATGTCACCAAGACCAACAGTGCTGAAAAAACTACTCCACTAATTCAACACAAAATACATGATAAACCATTATTACTGATTTAGAAGCAGGTTATTTCCAATCCACTAGGTGGGTAACTCAGGAGAAAAATAACGTCCTTTTTGATCGATTTAAATCCGAAAGCAAAAAATCATAGCTTTTTGCTTGTATGCAATACTTAATTGGGATACTAAAGTTATGACTGGAATAAAATAAAATATTAATTTCTTTATTAGTCGAGAAATTGATGAAAAAAAAGTGACTTAGAAGAGGAATGTGCGAATTATAATGTCGAGAAAAATATATACAGCCTTTTCTTTTGACCAGTCGCTTATCTGCTGCTTTAGAGTTTTTGTTGTTTAAAATAAGTTTTTTTTCAGAGCTTTGTAATATTTCAATGAGCAAATGTAAAACTTATCATAATTTATCATAATAAGAGTTCTACCATCCTATAAATTAATGGATAATAAAGTTTTAAAAAACCTGATATTAAAGAAAAAACTATTTTTTTGCTAATTTACCTTATGGAGACGAAAAAAAAATATACTGAAGTGAGATATCCCCATTCAGTTTCCCACAAACAAAAGAGTGCAGCGGAAAATCCAATCCAAAATACTAGAATTGTTAATGCAATTGGAATAGGAAATGCATGATCCTGCGACCTGAATTAATGAAACATTGAACCAGACGTCAGACTTTGAAAAATACAAACAAAGTATAAATATTGTGGTGTTACTTAATTTTTATAAAGCATTAATTAGCCGAATCAATGCGTTACGAATTAATAACTTTAATTCAAAACCACTGAGAGGTCAGCATTGGTACTATAATTATTGCAATCAATCTGGAATGTATAAGTCAGAATAGTTTAATTTATCTGAAAGAACTATATGCAAATAATTCGCAAATCTTAGGTTATGTTTAGTTTATGTTTTTAACCTTTATGACCAAGAATACTCTGGTAGGTGATCCATAGGTATGGGCCTTCCCTAAGTGTATCGGGTATATAGGTTTGCACTATTTCACTGCGAAAAGTTCAGTGAATTGCACCTCTTTTTTCGACTTGTTCTGCGAATGCAAACACAATGTTCTTAAATAGAAACTTAATCGTTTGAAGTTAATGTTAAGCGAGGAAGATCCTAGTCTAAACCAAAATGAACTATCGTCAACCATTTCCAAAACTTATCTCCATTCATGTAAATGGTAGGAACAAAAAAACCTAACATTATATACTCCTACTAAATGTTCTGTCGATAAATTCTGTTTTGTATTGCCTACTAGTAGACAAGCTGAAAATAGTGATCAAGGAAAAATAAAGTTAGAAAAAAGGACTCTGGTGACAATGGGAGAAGCCTCAAATTTCCTCAGTCATATAATAAAGATTGCTAGAACTTGGCAAGGGTGCTTCTAAACAAAAGATGGCAAGTACTACCGCTGACAGGATCCCAGTGGCGCTAGATTGTCAGATGATTACTCATGCAATTTTCTTGTTGGCAAGAACTTCAACTCTTTAAAGCTCTTCACGAGCTTTCACCAAGAAACTAAATTAAAAACTATGTATAATTCAAGTGAATAAATATGTATAAGGATATCATCTTTGAAGTTTCCTGAAAACGTGGAGCGAACTTTCGAGCAAAGCAATATTTCAAATAAATTTATATAAAATGGATAGATACCTTCGTTTTTTCAAGTCATTGCTTTGAAACGAAGAATTCTCTTCGATGTCAAATTCAATTGTCGAATTATTTTTATGATTTCCATTTTCTCCGATTTGAACCCACTTCATATATCCTTGATTACGCTTTCCCTAAGAGTTTCTCACAATTTTGTTTACAAAGTTCATTCAAGTCTTTCTGGTGCAAAATGATTTGGCAGAAAGATTCTTTAGAAATGAAGAGAATTACTTCTTTTTTGAGAATAACAAATTCAGCTCCGGATGATACTGTCGACTTATCTGAGTTTATATCCTCAACTGATTCTCTGCAAGGTTCTCATACTAGTTCCCAGTTCACTGGGGCTACCCAAACTAGACATGGTGAGTGCTGTTAGAAGATGGCAATAAAGTGAATTAATATGGTTTAGGTAAACAAATTGTTTTTCGTAAAAACGAAAAAAACGAAAAAAATTACTTTTCTTGAGGGTTTAGGTGGTAGTTTATCTTGTGTTGAGCGAAGCTTTTTATATATTTTTCGAAAGGATTTGGATAAAATTCGACCAACATCCTTCAAAATAATTAAAAAAATCGGAATACCAATCATTATATAAAAAATACTTGCTATTTGACCTGCTTTCGTTTTTGCTACCGGTAGTCCATAGCCTAAAAATAGCCACTAATAATCCATTACTAATCTTTGTAACCTATAAAGTATAGGGTATTTCCAAAATTTTATCTATTCTTCGCTTATTACATATTGCTTGGCATTATATATCATTTTAGTTATGACAAAAGTTATGATAAAAAAATTTAAAATCCGGAATTATTCAGATAAGATTTAGGTAAATAGTGCATACAATGGAAAAAAAGTTAATTCAATTTCAGTTTCAATCGAAATTTTCGAATAGTATAAATTTTTTTCCTGTAGAAGTGAATAGATATATTTGGAAAAATGAGGTGCAAATGCAAGATTTTGACAGTATAATTCACCTATTGTTGTGTAAAGTTGTCCAGCGTAAAACATCGCACCATACCATGACCATGGACTGGATTCTGTTCGCTCACTAATTATATCGGTAAAATTTAAGTAATGGAATAACCAATCAATTGCTTCTTTCGTATATTTCACTTGGAGATTTTCGTCATTACGAATTATTTGATCATCGCACCGTATCTCCATAATCCGCTTGATCATCTAAACTTAATGATGAACAACAAAAATGTAACTGTTTTAGATAATCATGGGGGGTAAAAAAAGAATAATGCTGAACCATAATCAGTGCGAAATACAACGATGTTTGATAGAAGTGAGGTGATACTTTATTCAAATTCGCTATTTACATAAGACTACTGAAGACTACTGAAAATAAAAATATAAATGAGCAAAGTTGCCGACATTTAAGGCCGAATGGTTTTCTTTGGCACTTTAAACCTCTAGCAAAACTTTTGAGATTTTATTTACGGTCCTTATTGCTGTATCCTCAAAATCTTGTTGATCTTTTCCACTTCTATAGTAAAATATCTTCGAAATTGGTTCGGAGCATCCTATTAAACTTTCAATTCATTCAATCGTTTCAAAAAAATTTTGACCAGTGACGAAAAACAAAAAGAGAATACCTGGTCGAATGCATAGCTATAACTTTTTCGGAACACTTCACGCTCATTTTGATCGCGATGAAGCTCAAGGCTACGAAAAATGGCTGCACCTAGTAAAGTATAAGAGATCAAAATAATGAATGGCAGAACAACATTAAAGCGAAATTTATTATAAGCTAGTTTTAACTGATCAAATCTCAACATTATGTTGTGGTGACTCGATTCATATCGGTGATTGTGCCCTCAGGCTAGCGATTCCAATTTGTCAAGCCTAAATGTTACAAATCAATGCAAAAATTATTGTTAGATGTTATTATTTCAAAGCGAATAAAAAATGACACAAGAATATATATATATATATATAATTATATATATATATATGTTATTATTTCAAAGCGAATAAAAAATGACACAAGAATATATATATATAATTATATATATATATATATATATATATATATAATAACGATTTCATATAAATGAAATTACTAAATAACAAATAAGGCTGAATTATATTAAGGCGTAAATTGAAATTTGCAAATGAAAATTTTTGAAAAATTATATTATTTACAATATATTAACGAGCTGTGGGGTCACCGCACGAAAACCATAATGCATTTTTTTGCACCATTTCAGTCCTGCAATATTACTTCCCAAGACCATTGATATTGATTGCCGCAATTATTTTTCAGTTATTTGTTGTTCATTGCCTTTCATTATTGTCCAAGAAAATCTTTAGACGATACTTTCCCTCAGTTTGGCTTTTAACTTCTGAATTTTGAAAACTTGTGATCATATTTTGTTAAAATAAAATAAAAAAGAAGCAATTAATTTATATTTACAGAAGTGAAGAAATTAAAATCCATTATAAAATTCTCTAAACTGTATGATTTTATGTACCTATCTCTACTTAAATTTTTTTTATTTATTTAGAAAATAGCCAATTTAGGCTAAGAATGCCATAGGCTTGAAATTGCAAAAAATCAGAAACTGAAGAAATCAAGAAGGAAAATAAAATACTTTAAAATAAGCAAAAAATTGAACGGAAAAAAGGAAAATCAATACCTGCTTGAAGCTAAGTGAACAGTAATCTTCAATGGTGAGCACTCTTAGAAAAAAAATTTGGTTTTACAGATACAGACTTATGTAATTTCAATCATTTACTTCTAGCTATATTAAAATTTAAGCTGAAATTGTTCTACTTAATTCAGCCAAGATTGCGGTATTTTATAAGCACATTTCACTTTTCTAATTTTTCAGAAATTATAGATTATATAATTTCATCTCACAATTATGATATGGAAATTAGAATTAGAATTTAAGAAGCGTTTTTGAAGGTTTTGCTTTCGATTAATTAAGTGACTAGCGCTTACAGTTTCTAGTTTCGGTGGCTGTTAGAAATCTTTATTAGAGAGTTAGCGACAAAAGTATATATGGGCCACCGACTCCACTTAAATTTTTTGATAACAAATTCATATCATGCAGAGAATAGAACTTATTAGAACTCGAAGCGAATCGAACTTATCAAACCACTCGATCTTATGTTGATTAAAATTATTTAAACTTAAAAATTATCTGAGTTCTTGAAAAATCTAATTGCAAAATATGCCGAATGGCCAATACATTTTTTGAATGCAGTCGAGAAAAAAATTAAGCATAAACATGTCGTTAGAAGAAACACAAATTCACTTCAATATAGAATGACACACATTAATTACAAAACTGGGCACGCAAGTAATAGACCTCAGTTGGAAAACTTGCAAGGTTGCTGATAAATAATATTGTTTTAAGAATACTGAATCGAATAAGAGATAAACAACTGCAAACAAGATCGATTTGATTTATAAAAAGTTTAAAAAAAAAATTAATGTGTGCCAAAAATTTGTGGAAATAACTTTTCATCAGGCAAAGAAGCCGCTATTCCAAGACATATCTCAAAACAATCAAGAAAAATCGCTGTTTGAACTAGCAATTTTCAGGTTATCTTTACTGTTTGAGCAAAACATGTGCTTATATGAATAAAATAACTTTTCTTTACCTGATAATACATAGAATTGGTAAGTCTAGATAGAAATTAATGCAGATACTCCTACATAAGATTTTAGCTGTGTGAGTGTTTTCATATCTGCTTCAACTCGAACGGTCGTTCTCGCACAATTTCAATGTTGATACGGAGCAATCAATCATTGAAAAACATCGGATAGAAAAATGAAAATCCATCATTACACGTTGGGCATAAGTCGGGAGCAGAAGAGCAAATGATTCCAAACAGCGAATAATGAATTTGAATGAACCGTGTAATAAACGAACGAAGCACATTGGCGATAAATCGGTTGCGTATATTCGCAACAACAACGGTTTTTCACTGAAGCTTGATATTACACTATTCGACAGGTAAGACAGCGGATTAAGAAATCATTTAATTTCTTCAAATTACAACTGTAATCCAAATAAATATAAATAAACTAAATACCGCAATGTCTCGGTGGTTTTCTTTCACCATAGCTTCCTATCATAATACAATATGCAAAGTTAACTAAATTTTAATTTAGTCCCAGACTACTGAATTTTTCTTCGAACAACACTCAAAATTTCTGATTTCGCTGGCTCCACTGACTAATAAGAATGAGATATCTTTCATCATAAATTTGCTTGTGGATAGAAGGGTATATAAGTATTGATCCTCCAGCATCAACCGACTTTTAATAGAGCATTTACTTCCTTGGACGACAGAAGTAGAATTTGTGGTGCTGCACTTGAATCAAATATACCATTCGACCATTCACGTAGTCTGTTGGTAAATCTGATGCTTATCTCACAGTTTCGGTGATTTAGGTTGTTGCTAAATTCGGAGCGCTGATGCTGAGAACGCTTTTACAACTATTCAAATTTTTTTTCCATCTTTACAATAATTTTAGAATATTGGTGATGATAGTTTATCTTCAAATTACGTTACTTTCAGCTTTCATATGTTCATAGCAATTATTTTTATTGTGTTTGCGGAAAATTTAGGTAAAAATAAAAACTTGCGTATATTCATTCTTTTACCGTAATTTGATGAGTTTGCTATTCAGCTGAACCAAGATTTATTTAAGTGAAAACTGGATGTTGCAATGAGCAATATTAGAGTGAATGTATTATATATAGTATTAAACTGCATAATGTTATATTGAAATAAGTAAATAAAAATCTGTGTGGTACTTTGCAAAACAAGAGAAACCATAATTAATTAATAGTTGTCATAACAAACAGAACTGGATGAACTTTATGCGAGAATCTGTCTTTGAAAATATCTGTGAATCATTTCGAATATATGCATTTTGAGATAGTAAACTTCAGTGATAACAAAGTTCATTCGAATGAAATAAATCTGTTGAAAAAGTGGATCAAAAAAATTCATTTGAAAAAAAATGGCGAAAAATTGCAAAAAAATCTATTTGATCATTTTAAAGCAAAAATGAAAAACTTAAAATATTTCTAAAAAAAAATGTTTCTCAGTCAATTAATTACGAGGTACGAATCAAAAATATCTTTAAAAATCCGAAAAACTTTTAGCAAAAATATCAGTGATCATCATTTGAAAATTAATTGCGCTAAAAAAGTGCTATGTCGAACAAATGATTATAACTAGAAGTTTTCGATGCAACATCGCGTTGCGAGATTTCCAGAAACCAACCAAAATATTCGACTAATCATTGGATTAAAAGAATAATCTTGAAAGATTTTTCAATGAGCCCTCGCTGAAAAAAACTGAATTAACTGGGTGAAGTAGATTTACGGTTCAGCATTGTAACTTCAATGCATAACTAAAAGGTCATGTTTCTGTCAAAAATTTTTACTAATTGTCTTTTACCTTCTGAATCGATGATCAGTCACAATCAATTTAATGAATAGAAAAAAGTGACTATAAAGGTACTCTATTAATCAATTAGAGTAGGATTAATTCGAGTAATTTATCAAAATGCCTTTGATATATGATATAAATTTTCGCTAATTTTTCCACTAAGAAGTCAGTTGCTGATTAATTAACTAATATGATTGCTTTTAATATTTGCTTTCATTTTCATAAATTCTTCAGTGACAAGGCGGTGCACATTCATTGCGTCGAATCATTTGTGGACAATAAATTTTCTCAAAATTTAATGCCTTGATTCTTTGAAAATGCGAGGGTAATGAAAAATACCAACTGGCGTCATTAATTATTTAAGATGTTGAAAATTGTAAAAAAAATTTTCTAAGGAAAAAAAAGTATTTCATCCTTTTGTAAAAATTTAAAGAAATTTAAATTTATAGGCCAAATTTAATCATGGAAGATTAGTTGTTCAAATTAGATGGATCGAGGTATCGAATAATTATATTTAATTTCAGCGATGAAAGGATCTCCTAAGGCTATCTCCTAAGGAAAGCATCTTGGCTTCGGTTCTTATCTCTTGAGGAAATTAAACCTGTCATCGAAAACGAAATCTAGCCAAGGTAAGTGCACTTCTTCATTTTAAATTTCTGTACACAGTGACTCTATGGAAAAAGATTGTGAAGCTTTTGGGGCAAAACAAGCCAGAAAAGGTGAGTGGAGTTTAAGTGAATTTTTTGCATGGAGTGGAAAAAAAAGTATGTTCGAATTGAACCTAAGCATTTTATCCATTTAATCGATTGCGGAGACTTGATAATGATTTAGACTGGCTGCGGCTTCTGCTAGGAGTGATCTTGTTTTTAGAAAATTGTGTTGTATGGCGGCCCGCCTTTATTTCCATCGCCAACTAACTGAAAAAAATTCCAAACTGCCCGTAGAGCAAGCTGAATCAGAATTAGCGAATGCAAACTGCTTTTTGCTTATAACATCCGATTTGCCCAAATTCCAATACAAGTTATTTTTGAATCAGCAAATAAATCGATGATCTTTCAAAAATTTTTGAAAATAAAAGAAACAGCAGCGTGTTAACTGTGTTTTTGTGAAGCAATTTTGTTGCAGCTATCAACAGACGGACGTCGGCTTATTATTATTATTATTAAATGTTTAAAATTCGTTCGAGTTTATTGTAAAATAATGCTAAAAATTTCAAAAAATGTATGATCTAAAAAATCATGTTAGCAGACTGAGAACATAATATCGCATATTAGGAATCTTTTATCCACAAGCAGCAGCTATCCATTAAAATTCATTTAATATTCATAGTATGGGGCCAACTTTTTTTTTTACAGTGCCC